TGTGCCCTATAGCAAAAACAAAAATAAAACAAAACAAAAAAATTAAGTGCTCACACTCTGTGAACTAGCAGTTTAACTTCTGACTTCTAGGATTCCATCTTGCAAAAGCATTTATGCAAATGCCCAGAGATATATAAACAAAGATATTCATTGTTGGGGCTAGCAGGTGGTGTGGTGGTTAAGAGCGCTGGACTCCCCCATGGCCAACCGCAGTTCGAGTCCTGGGCCTGGTGACCTGAAAATCATGCTGGGCGCGTGTGCACGTGTGCCCAAGATCCCGGGAGGAGAAGGGGTTGCGGTGTGGCCATTCTCCTGGGGGGTGAAAAAAAAAAAAAAGATGTTCATTGCAGCATTGCTTACATTGCTTTTTTTTAAAAAAAAGAATTATTTATTTAACTTTATTTATTCATTCATTTATTTTTAATTTGACCAGAGAGAGAGAGAAGGTGAGAAAGCAAGCCACCAGGTCCGAGACTTGAACCGTGTTTGGCCATGTAGGAATGTCCCGCACCTTAACCAGCACGCCACCTACTTGTCCTGTTTACATTGTTTTTTTTTAAAAAGGGAATCAAACCAGAGTTTTATGGAGAATTGGTTGAATAAATTACAGCATATCGGTAGAGAAATATAATGGTGCTATTAAAAAGAAGAAGGAAATTTTCTATGTATATTATTACGAAAAGATGTCTAAGATAATACATGAAAATAAACTTCGACATAATATAACTTAGATCTGTAAAATATAATTTAAAATAGCATGCTTTAGGGACCAGCAGGTGGCGTGGTGGTTAAGACGCTGGACGCTCCCACGTGGATGACCATGGCTGGAGTCCCAGACCTAGTGGCTTGCTTTCTCACTTTCCCTCTTTCTCTCTGTCTCCCTATCACTCTCTGTGTGTCTCTCTCTGGTCAAATTAAATAATAATAATAATAATGAATAAATAAAATTCAATAAATAATTCTTTAAAAATTTAAAATAAAATAAAATAACATGCTTTAGTCATGCCTTCACCCAGCCAGTCCTCTTCACAGGTCCCTTGGGAAGATGAACACCTAAAGCCAGCGGCAGAGGGAGGCGGAATGTTACCATGCTGCCGGCTGGGCCCTGGCCTCCAAGCCTGCGCTGTGAGTAGACAGGCCCCTCTGCCTCCACACCGCAGAGGACCCCGTGGTTCCCAGGGTTTGCGCCCTCTGCCTTCACTCCCTGTCACTGCAGCTGGGCCCCCAGCCCCATGCTACCGCATACACGAGTGCAGAGGCATCCGCTTTGTTCAGAAGACCCCATCCTCTAACGTCTCCGGAAACTCTCCCTTCAGGGTGTGAGGCAGATGCAGACCAGGCAGGACAAGGGGTTGATGTGACCTCTGGGGTCAGAGGTTGATGCCTCCCGGATGAGGGGGTGGACCAGGGCCAAGAATTGCAGCAGCTGGTGGTTGGTTGTGGCTGAGTGGGCAGCGGGCCTGCTGTGGTGAGGCGGGGAAGGGTTTGTGGGAAACATCGCTGGCAGAAATAGCCAGGATGGCGTGCACTGGCAGTCTCTGGGGAGAGGACCTGCACCCTCGGGCAACTCCCCTAAGGTCTGTCCGGGGGCACCGCTGGTCACCTGTCTGCCCTGCAGGCCTGAGTCACTTCCTGTGCTTTTCTTTCCTTCCAGGTGGGCCCCTGACTCATGGCCCTCCTGCCTTCCTTCCTGCTCTGTGACTCAGGGACAAGACCACCTGAGGGGCAGGAGGAGGGCTAGGGGCTGTGGTTGGGGAAGTGCTCCCTCACCTCGGACCTCCTGCTCCAGGGTCTCCTCGGCCCTGACACTTGAGTTGTCCCCAGCACTAGGGGAAGCCTAGTTCAAAGGTGACCTCATCGGTCTCCTGCATCCAGCCCAGGCCAAGCAGGCACCCCTTCCCCTCAGAGAGAAGGGTTGGGAGAGCTTGGGGTCCTGTCTCCCATTTCTGCAGATCCCGCCATCTTTCTCCAGTCCTGCCCCCCAACCCTGCTCTCACTCTCCTGCAATGTGACAAATTCCCTGGAAGGCTAAGCTATCTTAGCTTTTTCTAATTGAAGCAGAGCCTAGCTAAGTCTCCAGAGTAGGTAGGCGTCACAGGCCCAGGGGACTGAGTGACAAAGGCAGAGTCTTCCCCGTCAGGCAGACCTCTGCGAGTCTGCTGAGAGGCATTGCTGGTTGTCCGTCTACTCAAGCACACCCCTGCCCTTTCAAACCCGACTCTTCTCCATGCAGCCCCAGGCCTTACAAACCAGTCGGGGAAGCCTCATTCCTTCAGCCAAAAGTGAGCATGTGTCCTAAGCTTGGCTTGGGGGCCAGCAGGTGGCATGGTGGTTAAGGATGCTGGACTCCCACACAGCAGACTGCGGTTCAAGTTCCAAACCTGGCAGCTTGCTTTCTCACTTTCTCCCTCTCGCTCTTGCTCTGTCCTTCGCTGGTCAAATTAAAATAAGTTAATTAATTAATTAATTAAGTTAAATAAAATAATTATTAAAAAAAAAAAACTTGACTAATGAAAACCAAGGGTAAGAAACTAGCAGTTGGCATAATGGCTATGTCACTAGACTCCCAGGTAGTCAACTGCGGTTTGAGTCCCAGACCAGGTGTCTTAAACTCACGCTGGGTGCGCGTATGTGCGTGCCCAAGATCCCAAGAGGAGAAAGGAGAAAGGATTGTGGCGTAGCCATCCTCCCTGGGGGGGTGATTTCTCGCTTTCTGTCTCTCTGTGTCTGTCTTTCTGGCGGACGCATGTACCCTTATAGCAAAAACCTCTCCAAAAAAAAAGGAAGAAAAGAGAAAAAAAAAGAAAACCTAGGGTAAATTTGCTAGGGGTGCTTCAGAAGAAAGGTTTCTTGATTTCAAAAATATCCCATGGAAAAAGATGGTCCCTCTCCAACCTGCAGACATATCGTGTCCACAGGTGGTGTCTGCAGTGTCAGCAGCCATCTTGCAGCCACCAGGGGAGCTGTGGTGCTTGAGGAGCAAACGTCGAGAGCAGAGCAGGACAGACAGAACCTGGATCTTGATAACCGGGCAGATCCACTTCCTGGAGCCATCGGGCCTCAGGACTTCTCTTCTTAGGAAATAAGAACTGCCTGAACCGTTTGGGATTGGGGTTCTGTTCCTTGCAGAGGGTCTTGATGATACAGTCGAGGTCTGGGAAGTCTGGCTGAAGAAGCCAAGTGGGTAGTTGTCAGCAAACTGTGCATGGCCTGATGAGCAAACAGCGCATTTCTAAACCCTGGCTCGTGTTTAGCTTCATGGCAGGAGACCCAGTCAGCTGGATGCTGAGAAAAGCAGGAGGCATAGCACTGTGGACGAATAAAGACACAGAAAACAAAAGGTGGACGAGGGCCCTCTGGAAGTCAGCAGCTCAGACATGTCCATCCAACATCGTTTGTAATTATTTGTTACTCCACAGAGTAGAAACAAACCAGACACTCACTTCTAGAGAACGGTTCAATAAATTATGGTATACCCTTGGAGTGAGAGCAGAGCCCCAAAAGGAGAGACGCTAGCCAAGCAGGAGCCCTGATGGGGGGTGCATTCCCCCCACTGTGGGCCTCCGTCGTGAACCAGGTCCTTCCCCACCGTGCCATCCCTGGTTCCGGTCCTGTCCCATACTTCCTTACATCATCTGTTCCATTTTCTAGCTCCTCGGGACAGCTTTGGCTGTCCAGTACTGCTGCTCCCTTCTTGCTCCTCCGTGATCCTCAGTTGTTGTGACTTCCCTCATAGGCACAAGATAGCTGCTGAAGTTCCAGACATTGCATCCCATGACATGGCATACCTAGAAATGTAAAAGGGGCCATCACTTCTGAAGGTCTATTTTTAAGATCAAGGAAACTTTTCCCTGAGGTGCCCTTTGAGGCAAGGACCCTCTGTTCTGTGTCTCAGGGCTGCCCTGGGCCCAGTATAGCATTAGAAGGGAGTGTCTGCCCAAGGCAAGGAGGAAGAGGCTTGTCCAAAAAAAGGAAGCAGGAGAGTAGAAGGGCCGAGGTTTCCTGAGCGGGGTCATTGCCATGGAACCAGGAGTGGCTCAGACATGCAGATGAGGAAGAAACAGACTGTACAGGGAAGGAGACAGAGGGGACGGCAGTGCCAGGGAACGGCACCACGGGGAGGCACCCAGCTATAATACAACCCGCAATGACGTGTCTCAGGGCCAACCTGTACCAGCATACATGCGTGTGCGGAAATAAACATTGCACAAACTTCCCCCACGACGACCAGGCATTCTCCCGTCTACATTTCTTCATGCTAAGAAAATGCGGGACAACAACCTGCTGAATTAATTTCCCACCCACCCAACAGGTCGTGGTCTGGAGCTTGAAACCCCTGCCATAGGACAGGATCAGAGTTGTGATCTACTCACCAGGCCCCTGGATGAGATTTGAGCAGCGACTAGATGCCGGCATTGAGAATCTTTTTTTTTTTTTTTTTTAACTTGTTCTAAGATGCATGCACTTGCCAGAGAGACTCAGAGACAGAGAGGGGAAGTGAGAAAGCACTCCCCAAGGGAGACGGCCACACCACAATCCTTCTTCCTCCCCTCTCCACTCGGGCTTTGGGCACAAGCATACACATGCATCCAGGAAGCTTTTCTTCTTTTTTTTTTTGGTCAAATTAAAATAAGTTAATTAATTAATTAATTAAGTTAAATAAAATAATTATTAAAAAAAAAAAACTTGACTAATGAAAACCAAGGGTAAGAAACTAGCAGTTGGCATAATGGCTATGTCACTAGACTCCCAGGTAGTCAACTGCGGTTTGAGTCCCAGACCAGGTGTCTTAAACTCACGCTGGGTGCGCGTATGTGCGTGCCCAAGATCCCAAGAGGAGAAAGGAGAAAGGATTGTGGCGTAGCCATCCTCCCTGGGGGGGTGATTTCTCGCTTTCTGTCTCTCTGTGTCTGTCTTTCTGGCGGACGCATGTACCCTTATAGCAAAAACCTCTCCAAAAAAAAAGGAAGAAAAGAGAAAAAAAAAGAAAACCTAGGGTAAATTTGCTAGGGGTGCTTCAGAAGAAAGGTTTCTTGATTTCAAAAATATCCCATGGAAAAAGATGGTCCCTCTCCAACCTGCAGACATATCGTGTCCACAGGTGGTGTCTGCAGTGTCAGCAGCCATCTTGCAGCCACCAGGGGAGCTGTGGTGCTTGAGGAGCAAACGTCGAGAGCAGAGCAGGACAGACAGAACCTGGATCTTGATAACCGGGCAGATCCACTTCCTGGAGCCATCGGGCCTCAGGACTTCTCTTCTTAGGAAATAAGAACTGCCTGAACCGTTTGGGATTGGGGTTCTGTTCCTTGCAGAGGGTCTTGATGATACAGTCGAGGTCTGGGAAGTCTGGCTGAAGAAGCCAAGTGGGTAGTTGTCAGCAAACTGTGCATGGCCTGATGAGCAAACAGCGCATTTCTAAACCCTGGCTCGTGTTTAGCTTCATGGCAGGAGACCCAGTCAGCTGGATGCTGAGAAAAGCAGGAGGCATAGCACTGTGGACGAATAAAGACACAGAAAACAAAAGGTGGACGAGGGCCCTCTGGAAGTCAGCAGCTCAGACATGTCCATCCAACATCGTTTGTAATTATTTGTTACTCCACAGAGTAGAAACAAACCAGACACTCACTTCTAGAGAACGGTTCAATAAATTATGGTATACCCTTGGAGTGAGAGCAGAGCCCCAAAAGGAGAGACGCTAGCCAAGCAGGAGCCCTGATGGGGGGTGCATTCCCCCCACTGTGGGCCTCCGTCGTGAACCAGGTCCTTCCCCACCGTGCCATCCCTGGTTCCGGTCCTGTCCCATACTTCCTTACATCATCTGTTCCATTTTCTAGCTCCTCGGGACAGCTTTGGCTGTCCAGTACTGCTGCTCCCTTCTTGCTCCTCCGTGATCCTCAGTTGTTGTGACTTCCCTCATAGGCACAAGATAGCTGCTGAAGTTCCAGACATTGCATCCCATGACATGGCATACCTAGAAATGTAAAAGGGGCCATCACTTCTGAAGGTCTATTTTTAAGATCAAGGAAACTTTTCCCTGAGGTGCCCTTTGAGGCAAGGACCCTCTGTTCTGTGTCTCAGGGCTGCCCTGGGCCCAGTATAGCATTAGAAGGGAGTGTCTGCCCAAGGCAAGGAGGAAGAGGCTTGTCCAAAAAAAGGAAGCAGGAGAGTAGAAGGGCCGAGGTTTCCTGAGCGGGGTCATTGCCATGGAACCAGGAGTGGCTCAGACATGCAGATGAGGAAGAAACAGACTGTACAGGGAAGGAGACAGAGGGGACGGCAGTGCCAGGGAACGGCACCACGGGGAGGCACCCAGCTATAATACAACCCGCAATGACGTGTCTCAGGGCCAACCTGTACCAGCATACATGCGTGTGCGGAAATAAACATTGCACAAACTTCCCCCACGACGACCAGGCATTCTCCCGTCTACATTTCTTCATGCTAAGAAAATGCGGGACAACAACCTGCTGAATTAATTTCCCACCCACCCAACAGGTCGTGGTCTGGCGCTTGAAACCCCTGCCGTAGGACAGGATCAGAGTTGTGATCTACTCACCAGGCCCCTGGATGAGATTTGAGCAGCGACTAGATGCCGGCATTGAGAATCTTTTTTTTTTTTTTTTAATTTTTTTTTTTTTTTTAACTTGTTCTAAGATGCATGCACTTGCCAGAGAGACTCAGAGACAGAGAGGGGAAGTGAGAAAGCACTCCCCAAGGGAGACGGCCACACCACAATCCTTCTTCCTCCCCTCTCCACTCGGGCTTTGGGCACACGCATACACATGCATCCAGGAAGTTTTCTTCTTTTTTTTTTTTTTTGGAGAGGTTTTTGCTATAGGATGTATGTGCTCGCCAGAAAGACAGAGAGAGACAGAAAGTGAGAAATCACCCCCCAGGGGGGATGGCCACACCGCAATCCCTTCTCTTCCATTCTCCTCTCGGGATCTTGGGCACACACGCACACGTACCTGGCGTGAGTTTAAGCCACCGGGTCTGGGACTCGAACCACAGTCAACTACATGGGAGTCCGGCGACATAGCCATTACGCTAACTGCTGGTCCCTCATCCAGGAGGTTTTTCAAGTCACCGGGTTCAGGACTCAAACCTCATAGATAGCCATGTGAGACCCAGGAGCCTCATCCACCATGCCACTAGATGGCCAGACATCTAGAATCTTTAACAGCAATTTGACAAGGTGAATTTATGTCTCTCAAATCCAACAGTAAAGAAGTGAGGTTTAGGGTCCAGCAGATGGCATAAAGGTTATGTCACTAGACTCCTACATGGTCGACCACGGTTTGAGTCCCCCACCCGATGACTTGAAACTCACACCAGGTGCATGTGCACGTGTGCCCCAAATCCCGAGAGAATGGAGGAGAAGGGATTGCCCAATCGCCATCCCCCTGGGGGGGGGTGATTTCTGCTTTCTGTCTCTCTGTCTCTCTTTCTCTCTGGAGAGTGCACATGCCCTATAGCAAAAATCTCTCTCTAAAAAAAAATAATCGGGGGTTTGTACCGTATGTATGTGTGTGTGTGTGTGTGTGTGTGTGTGTGTGTGTGTATTTTATTTAATTTACCAGGGGGCATGTACACTGACCCGAGAGAGATAGAGAGAGGGAAAGCAAGAGAGCACCCCCCCCCATAGGGCATGGCCATGCCACAATCCCTCCTCCATTTCCCCCTCCTTTGGGGATTTTGGGCATACACGCACACACACCTGGAGGTCCAGGAGTAGAACTGTGTGTTGGGCCATGTGAGATCCAGCCACCAGGCCATAAGCTGGCCCGTTATTTTTTAAAAGAATCCCTTTGTATTGTATTTTATTGTATCATTGGTCTATGATAGATTAGAATTTAAAATACAAACAAACTGATCTTTCTTCAGGTGACTTGAGAAGCGCTGCCTCAGAGGGTGCAGGCTTTGCTCCGAAGCTCCAGTCCAAGAAGGAACCCCTCTGGCCTTCCCACACTGGAGTGGCCCACTTACACACAAGGAACACCCCTTTCTCTGTGTGTCAGGATCCTCCAAGGCCTAGCTGAACGTCCTCCAGGAACACCCCCAAGCTGGTACCCCGCTGCACCCCATTTTCTCCCCTGCTCTCCCCCGCAGTGTGCTACCTGGCCCCCTTTCCGTGCCTCTGCACAGACTCATGGGAAAGCCCCGCACTGTGGGCTGAGAGCCTGGGCCCATGCAGAGGGCTTTGCACACCGCAGGTGCACCGCGGGTGAGGGAGCAAGGGGAGCCAGGAGAGAGACAGGTGAGGAGAGGGGGGAGCAAGGAACTGTGTGGATGGTCCCCAGGGAGGGAAGCTGAGTCCAGACTCTTCTGACACCCCAAAGCCAGAGAAGGGGCTTTTATGATGGGTCTAAGATAGATAGGAATTTTTTTTAATTCTTGCTTTCTTATTTTTCCCTCTCTCTGTCTCTCCTGGTGTACATGCCCCTAAATGGAAGCCCAGATGTCCCCTAACCTAGGTGGTTGGGGCAGGGGAGCAGGGACCTGAGGGCTGCTCCGAGCTGGGCCTCCCGGGCACCTAGGAGCCAGCCCTGAGGAGGGGAGCCAAAGGCAGGGCCTGGGGTAGCTGGGCAGGCCCAGAGCTGTTTAAGGGGTGCCGGTGTGGGCGGGGAAAGGGGGTGAGCCACCTGAAGCGGCTGCTGCAAGCTCTTCACAGGGACGGCAGAGAAAGGGACTAAGCCCAGGCAGGTCCTCAGGGGTCACGTCATCCGCCCTCCTGCTTCCACCAAGAACTCTGATGGCCACGCCCAGACTTTCTACCCCAACGGGCCAGGCGTCGAGGCACACCCCTCCCTTGGGGAGCCCGCTTACCTCTGCCCAGGAAGCCATCCTGACCGTGTCTTCGCTTTAGGGTTTTGCCCTGTGGCCTGTGGAGGGTTGATTCATCTCTCAGAGCCTCAGCTTTCTCGCCCTTCACGTGGGGATGATGAGCTGCTGTGAGAATGAAGGGAGCTGTGAGTGGAGGAGTGTGGCAGATGCTGGGCCCCCACCCGGAACAGCGGCCTCTGCCCCAGGCCTCAGCCTCTGCCTTCAGCCAGACCCTGCACAGCCGGCCCCCTGGCCCCGCACG